ATATAGTTTTTGCTTGAAATGTGCTATAGTAGATACACGTTAAACTGTTGCAGACAAACAATGTCTGTTGTGCAGATATTTCATTCTTCTTTCATATCTGAGATATGACAGACTATTGCCTTTCGTACTGTGAATTTTTTACTAAACCCAGACGTCTCTAGCAAGGCATAAATTTTATTGTTAAAAACTTTATCTCTAACTCTGGTTGAGCGAAAAGTCGAAACGTCAAATTTTACGTTCACGAGAGCGATGACGAGATGATGAATGCACAGAACTAACAATAGACGTTTTAAATCGTCATTATCTTGTAGCAGGCCAACTATACATATAGATAAATTAACAAAGTTTATACTATACTGAATAAAAATACATTTTTACTATGCACTCGAAAAAGATCTTCTCTTGGAGTCTGTGAGACATTCTTCCCCTGTAAAAAACTAAATTGAAAGCTATGAATAACAGTTAATGACAGTCATCCTCATAGCAGTACAAGCAAAACTGATGACTTTTGTGTTTGGGTTTTCTGTCTGCTGAATTTTTCCTTACGAAATAGTTATCATTTTGATCTTTTTTCAAGATTTTGATTGGTCGATGGATAACTGTTCCGCTGCTCCTGTGTCACTCGCCTTTTACTCAAAGCCGTTAAACTTAAAATCATCAACGGTCTTAATAACAGGTGGTGGTGCTAAAAATTAGTCATGAGCAGACACATCGCGCTTTCGCATATTCCGTTAAAATGGTTTGATCGAATAAAGTCACGAACTACGGTGCTAAACAGCAGTTAAACCTTCTCGAAACAGAATAACAAAATAAATGGTGAGAATGAGACGGATAACCTTTTTTTGAAAATATTACGGATCAAAAGCTTAACCTTTAAAGATACGACAAACTTTCGGTTTTGGCCTTTATAAGCTCACAGACTTATAACCACTTTATTGACCATGTGCAAATTTTTGGTCAGTTTTCGAATTTCCTCTGCCTATGCATGTATCAGTGATCACTATTCGATTTTACTTTGTAGAAAACCTTCTACAAAGTTTCGGAGACCCAGCACTTCTCATGAAGTTCTTTAGACTTTGACTATGAACACAAAGACCGAGATAAAATTATTTCTCACACTCCCAGTTAACCTCAAATCAGTCGCTCTGCGAACATAGATCGTAAGCGAGCTTTTCTTTCATGGCAAAACAAGCAGTTATAAAACACCTTTATTCGAATTTACATGCATGATTGCTTTGCTAACTGGCCTCGCTATGTGGATTAATCGCCCACCATTAACCAACTTACAAGATTAACTGTGTCAATGTGTAAATGAAGTTTAGAAAAGAACTACGAATAAATTAACGACATCGCTGATATTGTGTCTATTAACATTATTGTTTGAAACTTCTGATACTGGCAAGTCGAAAACATATTTTTTCCGTTGTGAGACCGCTTCTTCTGATGCACCGTTCAAACTTTGAGAAATGAGAGAAATTGTTCTTAACCGTTGCCTCTTCCTATCGTTGAATGATCTTAAATTTCAGTCAAAAGCTGGACCCTAGATAAAGCTGAAAAATGCATATTTTTTTGTCTTGTTTTGAGTTTATTTCACGCTATGTATTTAGATGTATCTAAAAACAGCAATTTTGGAAAATGGTTTCGACTTTCATTGATAATCTTTTTGTCAATGTTACAAAATTTATTAGAAGATTAAACACTCATCCATATTTCTATATTTATTTCCTAGGTAGAAGGTGATTGTTTTGTTTTGTTATCGTCGAAAATCTGGTATAATTCCATCGGGTGTTAATACAGATGCTCCTTTTTGTCTCCATTTTAAATTGGCTTTAAATAATTTTTCAATTGCTTTTACACTATCATAATCGACCCCTATCTTCTGGGCTAAAGCATAAATAGCTTGTTTTTCTTTTCGATGCAGTTCTTTATCGGCTGATGCTGCTCGAAATCCATCGAAAATGAGAAGACGCCGAGTATTTTTTTCTATTGATGCTTTCGATTTTGATTTTTGTGCTGCTTGTTTGAGTACAGCTGTTATGTCTTCAGAACTAGGATCGTAATTTTTTAGACTTTCAATAATATGAGGTGGCGCGCCTTTAGAAAACGAAACAAACAAATAGTCTACTAAATACATTCACATCTCGTTTTGCATACCCATTGCTGAATAATAGCCTATTATCCAATCGCGCTCAGCATCAACAAGTTCACCGTCAGCACCAGCTACATGCATTAAAAGTTTTCCAAGTGAAGCAAAATTTTCTGTGGATGGTTCATATTCGCCACCCCACATGTCCTTGTAATACCAACGAGTAATGCGTTTAAGATGTTCGTCATTGGTCACACTCATATTTGTTTTCTTTTCACAAAATAAAAATGTATATGATGTGTCTAGTGTTACCAGATTTACTTAAGAAAAAATTCAAACAAAGATACAACCTCGCGACAAAATAGAAAGAAGAAAATGATTGAATTTTGAAAGTATGAACTACTATGGATACTCTTTATTGAAACAAAAACGAAATGGAGGCGGCGCGCGACAATGTTTACTCTCCTTCAGCTTGTCTCCTATACAGACAATATATTGAATAAATATCGAAATCTATGGGTGTGAGCTAGCTCATTTAGTATGAAATGATGGATTTTGTTGTGTTTTTCAATATAGAAAAAAATTATGTACGATGATCCATACCTAATCAATCATATGCAAAATATATGTGGTTTTTGTATTTCAAACTTTTTGTTTTCACAACAAAACTCGAATTAAATCTACTCTCTTTTATAGAACGAAGGTTTAAAAGTTACTCAACCAGGTGGAAATAAAGAAAAACTATTGATACCAATTTTGTAGTAGGAAGTATCTTCTACAAAATACAGTTTGAAATTCGAAACTAGTTTCACCAATTCGCAGAAATACAAGAGAGCCCTACATGCACTGAAAATGTTTATCTTTTTCAGTCACGTCCGCGACGACGTAGTTTTTCGCAAAAAAGGTAATCTTAACAAGTATCCTAAGAATCCATTTTTTGGTGGCATTGTTAGCAACTTGATACGCGTTTCTGGTATAAATAGCATCACTAGAAAGTTTAACACTTTAGATATACAGTGACTCATAGTTTACGAACGTCTCGTCCGCAACGATGGTTTTGCGCATATATAACACTTATAAACTATGTTGTATAACATCTATAGCCACCTAAAAGTTACAGTCAAAATAGAGATCTTTATGTTATTTCAAAAATGGACTTTTTTCTGTGCACTCCAGTGAAATGTGAAATACCTCACTTCAGATTAATTTTGGAATGCTCGCTTGTTTACCAGATTAAAGTTCATCTTTTGAACTATTATAATCACTATAGACTTTTCTTCAGCTAGTTCCTTGGCTGAGGAAATAAGGACAACGTTATCATTGTGGAATTTCATCATGTTTATGCTGTCCGTTGCAGATGATTTGGCGTATATGTTTTCTATCGCAAAATTCATCGCCGCGCTGTGATTGGCACATATATAGATAGTTTGAAGTATAGTATATCCGAAGCAACCAAACAAGAAGATTCAAAACTACATCCGTTTCAAAATACAATGGTCTCGAATATTTTTCTAATAACTTCTCACAAAAATGAGATAAAGACCTACGGTTTCCAGTATTCGATATGCAAGATCTGTACGCATCTTTCCACAAGGAAAAATGACTTAAAAACGGATTTTAAGCAGATCTTTGGAAAACCAGTTTGGATCTCTGAGAACTGCCATAGAAATAGGTCGATCTTTCTTCATAGATAGATAGTCCAAACTGTCTTCTCCAAAATGGCAAACTCTTAATTTTTTCTGGTTCAGGTGTGGCATCAGAGTTCCTGAGAGTCTGAGGATCAATATTTCTTTAGGTGTGGCAATTCCGACAATAAATGGAAACATAGGTAATCGACCACGCTGAATCTCGCGGTAATATGTGTTTTTCAGAACACTTCAAAAAACCGAGTGGAAACCCTTATTAGGTGAAACAACCCATTTTTTCCCTATTTTTGCGTATAATTAGCACATTCATAACTCAGTCAATATTCATCCCAATTACGTCAGAATATCAAGATGTACTCTATTTTACTTGCTCGATATGATGCAGCTCAATAAAAGTCATAATAGCCAACAGAATAGACTTAGGTTTTTGAAAAGGGTTTTTAGAAATCTTTCGAAGTACAACAATGGTTTTTACTATTGTCAAGTAAAAAAACATATAGAGCAGATAAAATAGAGTACATTTTGATATTCTGACGTAATTTGGATGTATGTTGACTGGGTTATAAATGTTTTAATTGTACTCAAAAATAGGGAAAAAATGGGTTGTTTCATCTAATAAAGGTTTTCACTCGGTTTTTTTTGTGTTTTGAAAAACACGTATTGCTACAAACATCAGCGTGGTCCATTATCCATGTTTTAATGTGACAATTCATTCGCGGAATTGTCATACCTAAAGAAATATTGATCGTCACACTCTCAGGAACTCTGATGCCACGCTTGAACCAGAAAAATTAACAGTTTGCCTAGTTTCCATTTTGGAACGGTATTCATAATGTGGGAAAACCTGTAATTCGGTCATGCAAGATCGTTAAAACTTGGTCACTATCTCACTTTCTAGAGAATGGAAGTAGCTATCAAATGATATGATAGAAAACACCGGAAAAATATTATAAGATTCCTAGGTTTTCTAGAATATCGGGTTTTTCAGAAATCTATTTTCAAGATTCCAAGGCGCAGCATAATTTTTCTTCATCCATATATAGAGAACTCGATGCGCTCTTTCATTTGATACCAAATTCAAGGTTCTACATTAGGTTGCAGCATTCGGTTCAGCTTGCTGAGCTGTAAAATATGAGATAGGTTTCGACACTGATGTCAAAGGTGTGATGTAATAGTGCAAAGATGCCAGAATATCAGTTCGCAGTGTATTTACGTAGTACATGTTTCGACAGAACACCACCGAGCAAGCGATCATTACAATATATAACGTTTTGCACTAAATAACGCTTGTGGGGAAAAATGTTTTTTTTGTGGAGAAAACATGACGATCTTGTGAAGAAAAGTGGACGCCTTACGGAGAAAACACAAAGTTCTTGTTGTGAAAGGTGGACCTCTTGAGGAGAAAACATGAAGTTCTTGGGGCGAAACATCGGTTCCTGCATGAAAAGAAATGAAGTTCTTGTGGAGAAACATTCATTTCTTCAACTGAAAACAAGACGTTTTTGCGAAACAACATCGGCCTGCAGGAAAAAACATGAGGATGTTGTCCAGCAACATCCGTTTGTTTCTGCAGAAAAACACATGAAGTTCTTGTTTAGAAACATCCTTTTCTTCAGCGGAAAACATGAAGTTCTTGTGGAGAAACATCGGTTTCTGCATGAAAAGACATGAAGTTCTTGCAGTGGCGGCGCAAGGTCAGTTTTTCAGGGAAAGCAATAAACTTTAAAATGAAATTACGTTCGCTATAGTCCCTTTCTCTCTGTTCGCATAGTAGGAACAGTGTAGTAGGAATAGAGGAAGCAATAAAAAAGTTTATTGCTTCCCCCAAGTTTTTTTAGGGGGAGCAATTCCTAACCCGTTGCTTGCTGGTGCGCCGCCACTGAGTTCTTGCGCAGAAACATACTTTTTTCAGTTAAAAACATGAGGTTTCTGTGAAGAAACGTCGTTCTTTGCAGTGGAAAAGTTGAGGTTGTTCCAGAGAAACATCGGTTTCTGCAGGAGAAAACATGAAGTTCGTGTGGAGAAACATCCTTTTCTTCAGAAAAAAACATGAGGATCTTGTGTAGAAACATCCGTTTGTGCGATAGAAAACATGAAGTTCCTGTTGAGAAACATCGGTTTCTGCATGAAAAGGCATGAACTTCTTGTGCAGAAACATCCTTTTTTTCAGTTGAAAACATGAATTTTCTGTGAAGAAACGTCGGTCTTTGCAGTAAAAAAGATGAGGTTGTTCCGGAGAAACATCGGCTTCTGCAGGAGAAAACATGTAGTTCTTGCGGAGAAACGTCGGTCTTTGCAGTAAAAAAGATGAGGTTGTTCCGGAGAAACGTCGGTCTTTGCAGGAAAAAACATGAAGTTGTTGTGGAGAAACATCCTTTTCTTAAGCGGAAAAGAGTTAGTTGTCTTGTTTTTGAAAATTTGGCAGATCTTTCCTTATTTCCAAAAAAGTGGTACTTTCGAATGTTTTCACCAAAAAATGACTTGTTAAAATGTGGAATTGGGTTTTGTTCCAATACAAATCGATGATTTCCAATAATATCCAAAAAAAGCGAAAAACATTTTCTGTGTCACTTTGCATTACTGGCACTATAAACAGGAAAGCTTTGTGAACGTTCATTGATGTCTCTGCATGCGAAATTCTCGCATATATTGAAACCTTGAATAGTTGGACGATGATTGACATCACTTAAAGCTCTTAGATAAGTACACGGTACTGGAATAAATCGTCGCACTACTCTGACGAACAGCGTCATCTTTGTACATTTCTTTGAGAAATAAGTGGCATCCAAAAGTATCTGAGCGATTGTCTTATTCCTTTTAGCATTCGCATCGTTTGTATTTGGATCCTAATTTTATTTCTTCTTCTTTTAACTGGTACCTGTGCTCAGATATTCTTACACGAGTACATTCGGCCAATAGCTGCACACAAAATAACAGCACACGAGTATAGATTGACATAATTATAAAAGTAGCAAAGTCACTGTAAAGATACTCTATGTTCCCCCTTTTTTTCGTAATACCGTCGGTTATCAACCGGTCAATAGATTACCGCTGGTTAATCATACCGTTCGGTATAAATACCGGTTTGGCGACGGTTTTTTCTTCTGAGGTTAGCGCACCGTATTTTTCAGACTGCGGTACAAGAAAAAACCGTTGGTAAGCCGTTTTGACACAATCACCTTTTTGTTCTTGCTGTTGTTAGTCTATAAAAGAAACGCAGAATAGTCAAAAAACTTTGATTCTTTTTTCAGATTAAACTTTCTCTTTCAGATTATAGAGACTCGCCAAAGTTTGTATTTCGACTTAAGTCAAGTTTTTCCCATTCATGTATCTCATTGCGCTGCATGTGTACCGCAAAAGATCAAAAAAAAGAAAGCTGAGAACTAGATTCGAACTCCTGTACTGTTTGCTTACACTGATAAAATACCGGTTGATACCGTTGGTGCAACGGGCCGATGTACCGCGTAGTTCGGTAGACCGTGCGGTAATTTCAGTTCCGCTGATGGTATACCGGAGAATGTAACAGATTGATACCGGAGCGGTAACCCGGCGCTATGTAATCGACTTTGATGATATGGAACTTGATGTCAGAAAAGTGAGTAATCATGTCATCGAGTTTTCTGTGTTGTACATCGAGAAAAGTGGATGACTTTTCTCTGATTATTACCCGTGATCCACTTTAGCAGATGAAAACCGTTGTTCTGTTAGATTGAGTGACTGATCATCCACTCTTTTAGGTCTACACAAACAGATGACCGATCACACTAAATAGAACAACAATTTTCATCTGCTAAAGTGGTTGATAGGTAATGTGATAAACAGGAAATTCATCTACTTTTCTCGATGTACGATACAGTAAAGTGGATCACTCACTTTTCTAATGTCAAATTTTACAGTGTCCATCACACATTTTCTTATTATCTTTTTTTTAGATGCCTCTGCTATTATATATATTCTCTGTCGCATTATAAGTTTCAGTTAGTCAAGTCTTTCAAGAAAACTTTTCTTATGAATTAACTTCAGTCGTTAACATAACAACAACTGTTTGGTTCCCAATGTTATTTTCTGTCTATAACTTCCCATCATCCATTATATAGCAAGATCAAAACGAAAATAAGAGAATCTGCGTAAGTCATTGTATTTTTAGAAAAGCTTTTTATGGATGTAAGTGGTTATTACAGGAGAGAGAGTTGCTTCCATGTAGTCAGTCCATTTAATCTCGAATGGCACTCTCTACTCATAGAAACGAGGACAAGTAGTACAAGTATTTTTCACAGATTATGTTTCTCATATGTCATAGAATTAAGTTTCCAATTTTTAATATCTCTTTTTCTTTTAGTTTTGTCCCCGAGTTACGTCGATTCATTTTTTTCTCATCTCTTTGGCGCCCAAATCGATCAACAAATGGTAGTCATTATTAACAAATACACATCAGTCTTATATCCATACCACACTAAGTAATTCACTGTTATCAAAAAATTTTCACTAATATCTTCATTGTACATTTGAAGATGAAATTATTAATTTTATTGAAATTATAAATTTGTTTTATGATGTGCGAAAGTGCACATTTCCTTGACAGATACTTAAAAAAGAATTTCCTTTTTATACATGTATCTCATACGATAAATAATTGTGTCTGTCTTGGTTTAGACGTTTTTCTGTCATAGATTGATATACCTGAGTCTATTCGCTATTATTTTCAGAAGTAGTGAAATCTAACATCGGCAACAAGTGACAAAATTTTAAAAGAAGTAAAAATTGTTAAAAAATAATCAGTGACATGTATGAAAATAAATTGTCTTATCAATCTTGAAAAAATATCTAAGATCATAGTGATATTCATATGTCTAAGAGAAATCAATTTTGCAAACATCAGAGAAGTGGAGTATGCTAAAATTAACTAATCTTTCGTAGAGATAGATCAAAAAGGCATCATTTTTGATTTTCTTCATCTTATCCATATATTTTATATAATTCAGCGACAGAATAAGTTGTATAGTGAAAAGGAATTTGCTGCCAGATAAAATGATTAGATGCTTTGATCATTAAGTGCATGCACATCAGACTAATTGTTCGATTTCATAATACTTTTCCTCTTGGTAATAAAATGACTGTAAATTTTTCAAAATTCTTATTGATTTTATTACAGAGTCACGAAGTAATGGTTTCTCTTTCTTTGTTTCGTTCTAGATATTATTGTCATGATTCAAATGTTTAAGTTCTGTTATGGGTTCTTATAGTTTCTCTATCAACTATTACATCGTTTTCAAAATAAACAAAATGTTTGTGATTCTATATATCGTGTTGTCCACAAATGTGAAGTTCCTCATTCACCGTTGAAGCACTTGTTTATTATTTTCGGAAGTTGAGCATATTTTCAAGGGCTCTACCGTTTTTCCTATGCGATAATTAATGGTCACGTGACACTTTATATAGATATGTCAGCCGATCATTTGGTCTACGGTGGCTGTCTAAAATATTTTTCCGATCAACAGGTGGAAGAATCTGAAAATCTTTTCACCTTCAGCGGCAGCTAAACATTTTCTTTTTCCTGATGTACAATTTTTCTACAAAAACCAACTACAAAACTTCTCAACATTTTTCATCGTCGGCGGCTTATTGGCTGATACGTCTAATTTCATATATACATTCAGTACCGAGACCATCGCAGGGCAACTTTTTTCGCCCTGTCCTGTCTTGCCCTGTCAAAAATTACTCATCAAAATTGTTTTGGCCCTATCTGGCTGGACAGAACGCCCTGCAGTGCAAAAGAAAGTTTTTCTCCTTAACCTAGAAGACTTTATCTTCAAGAAACTCATCACAAATACTGGATGTGTTTCTCGTGCGTAACAGAATCTTTTCATTATTAATTATTAGGTTTAGAAAAGTTGGCTATCATTTTTATTTTCACATATACGAGAGTTCTCAAAATTTTACTTCAAAATCTCAACAATCAATTTCTCGCAGGGCAAATCAAGGAATTTTTTGTTGGCCTGCCCGACAGGACAGGGCAACAGGGCAGCCGTGTCCTGCGACGGTCTCTGATTCAGTATGAACAGTGTACAGTAGCTCACTAAGTAATCACATGCTACTTATCAGTCATACTTCTATGCATTTATAGTCTGAACACATTACCACCGATAGAATGTATCACAATGTTTACTACTAGAGGACACCAGTGCTCTAACCGAATGTAAGGGATTTAAACGGTATCTAAAGTGTTTCTAAAAAACGTTAGACCCAAGTCGGCTTTCGAATCTGTCCGCAGGATAGTTGATATCTAGTTTTCACTGCAATCGTTTGTTTTTTTGTCTTTTAATATATGATACTCTCCTTCATATGACTTTTTCTAACATAATTTTTTCGTATTTTTGTACTTTAAAACGGTTTTGTACTTTTTCTTACTGTATGAGTCAATAGAACATGTATATGTCATTTTTCACAAGTTATATGTTCAACAGATAGTTTTTACGATAAAACTACCTTATGTAATAGAAGAAACGAAAAAATATGTGTTATGTTAAACCGCTGTAGTTTAAATTACTAAGAAAAGAAAATCACACATCCTTTTGATGTTTGACAATCTCTTTGTGTTCTACATATTGATAAAACTAACTTTTTATTCATCAAAGAAGGCGACGATATATGACTACACTAGCCGGACGTTTAGTTGTCTTTCTCCTGCTCTAGAATGCATAATATGTCTATATTTACACTCACTACAGTTTGTCTTGGCAATATGCGTTCTAATAATGTCTGCGACTGTCATTTCGTTTTTTTTATATCTGTTATTGTAGTGACGTTTGATGACACGCCAGATATTATGAGGTCAGTATCATTGGGATCTTACTCTTCATATTAAGAAATAAAATCTTTTTCGTCTTGTCTGTTGTAGTGAAATAAAAGTAGACACAGTTTATATTCTTTGGACTAAAACTGGTCGAACAAGTCTTTATGATGGTGCAATTATTCGAATTTGTGAATATAAAAGTACATTCTATTTTAAAATTATCGATTCAATTAGTGATAAAGTAAGTGATGCTTTGTTTCTGTTAACAGACGTGGCTTTCTTTTGCTTTCTCACAAAAAAGTTAGAGAAAGATGCTGTAATGGAAAGTGCAAAACTAACGAATCTCTTTAACTAAAGCAGTCTCTATTTTTAAACGTCTATTATAGAATCAAAAGATTTAGACTTTAATTTTCTACAAAACTAAATAATTGATTTTTCTTCACATAATATTCAAAGTATTCTGGTTTTCAAAACAAACTTTTCCACCTGTATATTTATTCAAACACTATATTACCTAAGAATAGCGTCATAGATTAGAACAAAAGATATCGTTAGATTCTCTGCATCTTTTCATTATAAAAAGAAAACTGCTGTACTAATAAAGCATAGTAAAACGTTGATAATTCGTGCTCACTTATACACGAACGATATGGTTTTTGCACCCTATCTATTGAGCTTCATGGTTTCTCCATGGTGTTACTGGATAAAACTGCTGGATGGTAAGGAAAGAAAGATGGTTCAGTAGAATAAGAAATTCGTCGTTGTTCTGTATAAAATTCATGATGTTAAGTTCGCACAAGAAAAATACTCGTAATACTGTAATTTTTACGTTATTCAATTTGAATAACGCCGTTGCTCCTAGAGACGAACAACAATAACTTTAAAACATAACGATATTTATTTTAGAGCTTAAATGAAAGCTACAATTAAAGTCTAAACGAGAAAGTTTTGAAAATTAGACTACTGTAATACGTTAAATCTTATGTGAAAAAATTCAACTAATTTGCAGTAGGCATGGGATAGTTCCCGTTCCCAGTAACTGGAACTGGTCATTAGTTACCGTTTTCTTCATAATTAAGATGTAGAAAAGTTAATACTCATCTATCTCGTTTTTTATACTGTAATAAACTCATCTAGTTCAATTCCCACAGACATTAGTGCCATATTTTCCATAGAAATAATACACGTATAGAAAATCTGTATTCTACAGCCTTTGATCAGTTGTATTCCGTTTCTAAAGTCGAATGACGATTTCATCCATACACTTTTGTGTAAAAAATGGTATTTTTGTTTTATCATTTAGAATATTATTGTTCATCGTTTTAAATCGTGTAAATGGCTCTCAGATGGTGATTGTCGTGTTTCGTTCGATAGTCGATCTGGAAAAATTGGAATTATTTATCGACCGATACAATTGGCATTTATAAATCGAATGAAAGAATTAATATTAAAATATACGAATGAAAAAAGTAGATTATTGTCCACTTGGAGAACCTTGAAAATAACTAGAAACATCGGTTACTGATCATACTGAATTTCGTGACAACCGCTGTTTTTCAAGAATGTTCTAATGAAAATTTGTATAAGTTAAAATCACTCATTTTTGCCCGTTTCCACGTTAGATTCATAACTGAGTCAAAACATCTCCAAATTACATCAAAATATGAAGATATACTCTATTCTGTCTGCTCAACCTGATTATGCATTTAAGATTAGTGAAAAATATTCTTTTACCTCGCAAGATTTCTAAAAAAGGTTTCTGTTGATTTTTTAAAACTTTTATCAAACTCCATAATATAGTTTAGATAAAATAGAGTATATCTTCATATTTTGACGTAGTTTGTAATGATTTTGGCTAGATTATGAATTTAACGTGGAAACAGGCAAAAATGAGTCATTTTAACTTCTTGTCACGAGATTCATTGTGGTCAGTAACCGATGTTTCCAGTTATTTTCAAGGTTCTCCGAGTTGAAACTAAGGACATAGGTCTATCCAAGCAAAATGAGCCCTCTCCAAAACGGAACAAGCTACCGATTTCGGACGCGCGCAGATCGATAGAGGATCTCTTGGTGTGTCCAACTATATAACTTGAGTTGAAAGTGTTATGAGAATTATTGAAGTAGGAATGGAATCAAAAAAGATTTGTAGACTACATCATCTGCAAGTGATATTTTTTAACATGTTTTTCCTAATGAAAAGATTTCCCTAAGCCTTCCTTCACTTTCGAATGGCGAAAACCGTAAGCCTTCATCTTTTTCTGTTGAAAAGTTATTCAAAACGTTTCCAAAGTGCACTGTATTTGGACTTCGATACTACTCACTAAAATAAAATTTGAAACGTAATCTATTCTGGACATGTCATCTAGTGAAAGTTGCTCAACTGTTTCTCGATTGTCTATTGTAATGTAAACTAATAAGACATTGTCGTCTCTTCTAGGTTCAGCGCCGTATAATCAACAACAACAACAACAACAACAGAATTCCTCACTTTATTCTTTGGATGATACATTATCAGTGCTAGGAAATTCAGTTTATGATCTTAATGCAACTAAAGAAAGTGCGTCATTAAACGTCTTTTCCACTAATCATTGTACAATTTTCGATTCAGGGAGCCGAAAAATATTGACTGTTTCAAATAAAAATTTTGCAACATTCAACTTGAAAATAAAAATAGTTGTTGCTATATATATGTGAATAATTTTTCTACTATTAGATTCCTCATCTTATCATGCTCAAATGTTATCGTCTCATTCTGTGAATGGTAAAACGTTACAACATGAACGATTATTTCAGAATCTCAATTCGACAATACAAAGTAAAGATTAGAGAAAACAAATATAGCTAGTTTGAGATGAACATATATTTTATTTATTTAGATTCTTCCTGTTATAGTCTGCAACAACAACAACAACAACAACAACAACAATGGCCACAACAAAGATTGTCATCATTATCTCGATCTTCGGTTCCAACATTTTCTTCATATTATGAAAGTTTATTTCAACAATTTGACACAAATCTTCGCCCATCGAACATAAATATCGAAACTTTTAATATCAAACATAATGATACAAGTATAATTCATAAAGAAAGTATGTTTAATTTCATCAGCAATTATTCTTTATTATGTTTAAAGCAGAAATGGAATCTGCGACGGAGTTCTCACAAGATCTCGCGGTGAGAAAAATTCTTTTGTTCGCGGAACGAGTATGGATCGATCTGAAAACTAGCGAGTTGAAGTTCAACTTTTTTTTCGGCTGCAAATATAATGATTATTCGTTGATAAACGAATCTAAACTTATGAACATTATCGTCGGCTGTTCTGTAGCAAAACAAACATGAAATTATGGATTTCTTTGTGTGTATTAGTATAACTGTTTTGAAAGAAAACATGACGTTTCGTAAGCGAGAAAGTTTAGGAATAGCGATCGATATCCAAGGGGAAAAACACTGGCACATAAAGCGATTTTGAGAGTATTCAAAATTTCTTCACCGCGGATGAGATGGGGGACAGATTTTAAAAAAATGATCCCGGTGTGTCTCTGGTTGAAAAGTTAGAATAGAAGATTTTTTCAAAATATATTTTGTAATGTACAGATGATAGAATAAATCTAACTTGTGAATTTATATATTACAAATAATTGAACTAATTGAAGTTATTATTCGTGAGCTTTCAAATCTACTAATTCATTATCAAAAATTTGATGTACAATAAAAATTAAAGGATGTTGATAAAACGTAGCTTTTCAAAACAGATACAAATCCATATTTTACAATGTATCTGTTTTAATCAATTAAAAAGTATCTCTTTTGAGAAACGAATATTTTGGCAAGAAATTGCGTTTCTCAAACAGGATACATTATTTTTCATTTCTATATTCAAAATAAAAATCAAATTAAATAAGTGGTTGAAGCAATCAAGGTTATCTTAAGGGGGAATCCGTCTCCCCCCTTTTTATTTCGAAATGTTGTACAGTTCGATGGATCACGCCAGAATAACCCTCCCACAAACGTAAAAAAAGTGATCAAAATTGAGTTGCAAAATTTTTTTTTTGCCATGGGTTTTTGCTGGAAAATGAAAAAGTATTTTGAAAAAGACCTTGCCAAAAATGCTGCAAAAACAGTGCATGATGGAAAATAACTTCTGCAACAATAAATGTACGCAATGGCCGATTGTGAGAGTAACGTTGTCTGATTTTTCAAAATTTTCTTTCATATGTTTTAAATTTAATTTCTTTTAAAATTTTCCCATTAACTGTGAAAAATAGACCACGTCACTCTTGCAGCCGGCCATTGCGCACAATTTTTGTAAGTAGAATTTGACTCCAGCGTACATTGTTATTGCAGGATCTTTGACAAGAGTTTTACACTACAGTAAATGGGTAGCCCCTCGTATCAAACTATGTCAGTTTGAAAAGGGCGATTGTGTTTGAATTTGATGGATTGTAACATGATGACTAGATACCCCAAAGTGTTCTATACAATTCTACACAAGACCAACTTTTCTATCTGTTGTAGTTCTCAAATGGCAGGCATTTTACTTGACTAAATGGTAACAAATTTTGGGTGACTCAGGAAAATGTCTGCCATTCGAGAACCACAACACATAGTGAGGTCGACTTTGCGGAGAATTGTAGAGAACACCTTGGGCTATCTAGTCACCATGTTGAAATTAAAAGTCCACCGCAGATTCAGAATCTGACAACCTCATCGCTTTTCATCCGTCACGTACACCGAAAAACCAAGACTTTTTAGCACCAGATATATGTGAGATGGAGTAAAGCCTTCTCTACAAAATGCTGAAAACCTGAGCTTTCTGTCTCCTTTTGTTCTCGAGTTACTCAAAAAAAAGATCCATGTATGTTGAGAAATCCATAGTAGAAACCCCATTTGCCTAAAATCGAGTACAAATAATTGCTTGTCGGTAATATTTTGAAAAGGCAAATACAGAGGTTTGTAGCACTAATATCCGAACCATGAGTTTTCTTAAACACTTCTGAAATACTTGTTTTTATTTATACTTTGATGTCCAAAACGATTTTTTTTGAATAATATGGCAGAAGCGCTTTTTTGACTTCACTTTCGTACAAAATACATGATAAATTTTTGAAGAGTAAGACAACGTTGCTTTGAGCAGTATTATTTATAAACATTTCGAAACAACAGTTGACGTTTACGATTTACAAACAGTTGAGAAATTAACTTCTCTTTGAAAAATAAGTTTTTTTTTTATATAAGTACTAATTCGCACTTAAGATAATCTTGATTGCTTCTATCTCTTATTTAATTTAATTTTTATTTTGAATATAGAAATAGGAGATAATATATCTATAATTGTATCTCTTTTGAGAAAGGCAATTTCTTGCCTAAAAAAAAATTGAAAAAATGAACTTTCTTTTGAACTTTTTCCATGTATTCTAGTGAATTTCAGTAGGCTTAATGTAGATAAAAAACGAGATGCGTTTTGTCAATAGAAATGTCTCTTTTGCAAATGAGTTCTTTTAATTTTTTGGCATGAATTTTAAAATTTCATTCACTGAATTTCAACAGAGTTTGCCTATTCTGACGTACATTTGTGTCACTATAGCAGATGCACTTCTCTCACAGTCCACATACCAAAAGGATGAGAGTCAAAGGTCAGATAGTTTGGAAGATATCAAAAGAAATATTTTTCAAAAACTCGTGGAACATTTAGTATGAAAGTAACGATTTTTAAAAATGTTTTGCTCCTTTCAAACGAGAGACAAACTTAAACTAATCTCGTTTTTTTATCAAAATGTTACTCAAACTGCCAGCTATCTTTTTCATATTCTCGATCGGTATAAGTCAGGTATGGACTGAGCTACATCGCGGTGATTCTGGCAGGACAAAAAGAAAACACTGTTTAGTCTGCGACGCGATTGTTAGTGCGAATTCACCTAGAAACTGTGGATGAATTGGGAATTCATTCATTTACTTTAAAAGTTCTGTATGTCTACTACAAGTTGCTCACAAAAAGTAAGATGAGATAATGTTTCGTGGACGTGAAATTAAATGAGCTCGGAAAGAAGAGATATTTGAGCTCGGTGTACTTAATTGGCTTTAAAATGAGAGAAATGAGCTCGGTTGTAATAAAATTATATTTTTTTATATAAATGAGAGTTTTGAGCTCGGAAATATATTTAAACTCTGAAA